ATTCATATACATTAGGTGACCTTGCTGTCTGGTTGGGGACGACTGTGCCCATAAGGGGAACGGCTCCGTAGGTTCTGAGACCGTACGGCTTTACCAGAGGGATTGGACAGCCTCTTCTTCTGGAACGACCTGCGGTGGGCTCAAACCACCCCGTCTTGCACTTAGCGCCATGCTTAACCCAGGACGCCACCAGGGCTCCAGTGTATCCGCGTGGGACATGAGAGTCCCCTGGCCCCCGTGACAGACAGGCACCCTCTCCAGGCCCTCCACACAGCTCCCAGCTCCTAAGAACCTTACAGTCATGAAAGGGAGAGGGTCTTTCTCCTGCCCAACAGGTTTGGGTGCCTCCCACTCTCCTCCGTGGAGCCCTGAAGGTGACATATGACCGCACTTTATTTACCGGCAGGCAGGCAGAGCCCCTTGTCCCCAAGCCTGCTCACACCTGAGGCCGTCCATCACCGGCTGCCCCTGGTTGAAATTCACCAAGCAGCCCAGGCCTCTTTAAGCCCGCGCACGTAATGCATTTTAAAGAGCGTCCTCTGCCCAGATCCATGTACCGGACCTCGGCTCAAAGCACAAGATGGAACGGCAGTGTAGCAAGCGCCTCCCGCAGCTGAGACGTCCCGAAAAGCCATGCTCATCTCCGGGTGCGGGGAAGGCAGCAAAGGCTGCAAAGTTGGGGGTGGGGGCCCGCTGTCTGTTGCCCAAAGACCCCGCCAGACAGGACACTCGATGTGCCCGTGAGTCCCGAGTGGAGGGGGCCAAGAATAAGTGTGGGCACCTCCTCTTGGGTAAGGGTATCACTTCAAGCTGGCATTGTTGTGGAAGGCAGTAGGGTCAAGCCTCTGCCAGATACCTCTGGGTCTCCATGGGATGCAACCCTGGGCGGCTGGTGGGTGACGCCTGGCCACTGACTCTCAGGCTGGCATTTTCAACCCACCCGCGGCAGCTCTCCATGGTGCTGGAATTGACTTGATGGCAGGGAGTTTTCCTTTTTCGCTCTGTTGGGAGCCAGAGGAAAGCAGATCTCTCTAGCAGACTTGTTGTAGGAAAAGGCACTTTGACCTTAGCCTGGAGGATGGGCTGGGAGGTCGTAGGAAGTTCATTGCTGGCCGGGGAACTGAAAAACTAGCACCTTCTTGCCGTCAAGTCAGTTGCCGACTGATAGTGACCCTCCAGGGCAGGGTAGACCGTCCTCTGTGGGTTTCCGAGAGAAGCAGACAGCCTCATCTTTCTCCCTCACAGGGACTGGTGGGTTGGAACGGCTGACCTCGTGATTAACAGCCCAACTTGTAACTCACTCCCAGGCAAAAAGCAATGTGTTTTTCATGAGGAGAAAGGAGCTTGGTAAAGTGCGGGGTGGGGGTGGGGTGGGAGGGCAGCAAAGAAGAGGAAGGTGATGGATGAACAAGGGGCTGCGACAGTGGGCTCCAACCCAGGAACAATCGTGAGGCCGACACAAGCGGCCGTGTTGGCTTCTGTTCATTGTCCGTGGGGTGATATGAGTTAGTAGCGGCTTCGCAGCACCTAAGGACACCAACAAAGTGCTCACCACTCGAAAGGCCTGTGAGTCCGAGGAGGCCTGCACGTGGCTCTTCTAAGGGCCCCTCCAGGGTCAGCCTGTCTCTATTCAGACTTAGGACAGAGCCCCCCTCCGTCCTGGCTTTCTCCTTGCATCCTGCTGCAGCGAATGCATCTCTATCCGGGTAACGTCTGCGAGCAAGTTCTCTCTTCCCACCACCCACAACGGAGCCACCTCTCCACCGCTCCCCGCCACTTCTGCACGGAGCCACTTCCCCCTGCCCCCTGCGACTTCTGCATTGTCCTCTGTGTCTCTGGAGCCACCTTCCAAGCTACCTGTGTCGTGACAGCGTTGCTAGGGTCCAGCTGACATGTCACCCATTGCCAAGTGGACGAACTCGTGGGACCGTGGCCTTGAGCTATTATGACCACAACTATGGCCAGCCCTGAGAGTCCCCGAGAGGGCTGGTGGCATGCCAAAGAAGTCACAGGTTGAAGACATTCTAGGGGTACAGTAGACAAGAAGGTGGGGGCACCAAGAACAGCCAGGGCACCTGCTGTCAGTCACCACCTTCCAGAATGGAAGGAGACAGGAGGAGATCCTGCCCATCCACCCCAGCAAGTTTTTTCAAACCACATCCTGATGAAAGCCAGGGGTCATGACCCTCAAAAGCTCATGTAGCTTTTGTACAGCTGACCAGAGATAACTCTCTGCTAACGCCCACCTTGGTAGAGTCTCCAGGTCTCATTGCAGGTGGCTGGGGATGCCCTTGGCTCCCAGGTCTCACCTCGAACTGCTTTTCCTTCTTTCTTTGGCAGGTCACCTTGCCCCAGGGGAGCTGGCAGGATCTTCCCCTTCTACGCTGCACGGAGCACCAGGAACAGGACTTGGGCCTCGACTCACCTGCTTTCTTTGTGCTGGAAATGAGGGAGGAGACACTCTCAGGTAAGAAGGCCTCCTCAAACGGTCCCCTCCTTAAGGTGATGGCGGGGAGGTTGACACGTACCTTTAGAAGGGACCAGTGCTTTCCATTTCAGAGCAGGGGGCCCTGGAATAGGTTCCTCAGACCTCGGGCCTTCAACCCCCAAGGCCAAAGGCATCAGAAGGCTTGTTGAGATAAATGAGGGTAAGTCACAAAATACCACTAGAGTCATAGAAGCCTTTGTGAGGGAAAAATAGCCAAACCGGAAGCTATTGTTTCTCAGCACATCCTCCATCTGGGTCTAGAATACTCTGAAGGTCGTGTCTCCATCTCCCTAACCTCCCCCACCCCACCCCCTGACTTCTGGGCTCCCACTTTACACCAAGACAGCAGTTTGACATCCTCCAGGGCCTTAAACGATGAACCCTTTCAATGTCCTCTGAGTTCGGGGACAAGGAGTCAGGAGGCAAGATGAAGGCGGAAGGTTTCCCAATGAAATTCTAACAGGTCGGTCCTTACTAGCCTTTAGGAAGCAGGCGCGTCATAAAGGAAAGACAACAACAACAAAAAATCCTAGGGATAACTTTCCCGGCCCTTTACTCATCAGTATTGTTTGTAATTTTCTTCAAACACCTTGATAATGAGCCCCCCTGATGGTCCTGTGTCCTTCAAGAAAGTCTATCAGGATGACCCCTGGGGGACCCCACCCCCACCCCCAGCCAGTCACTGTTACCTTCTGAGCCGACCTCTCTGCCTTGCATGGAGCTGGCCCAGCGGGTCTCCTCCGAAGCTGCTGTTTGATTGGACGTGTCTTTGAAGGCACGCTAACAAGACACGTGTGTTACCGAGAGAACTTGTCTGCAGCCATCCATCCCCTGACCAGAGACATGCAAACACGTTTTGCTTGGAATCAAGCTGTGCACAGATGTACGTTTTGCGTGGAACCAGGCTGTACTAGAATGCTAGTACACACTTTTCAGCTTGCCTTAGGTGTTGGCAAACTCACACGTGTGGCTCCCCAGTGAGGCCAAGCCACACTTCCTACCTCTTGGGTTGGGGTGAAGATCATGTTTCTGCCCAGTATGACCATTTTGGGGTTTGTGACCGTCGTGAACGCAGCCACTTCTTAAACGCACACACTGAAGAAGAGTTGGGGTGGGGGGTGAGTTAGCTGACTGTTCACCAGGCAGAGGGTGGAACTCCCTAGCCTCGGGTCCCCGGGGGCAGCAGAGACTTGCCAAAGCCTCTGATCTTCTGTGTTGCCCATCGAGGCCCTTCTACATGGGACTTGCTGGTCCTAAAGTCTGTCCGTGTCCTTGTTTGCAGGATGCACTGCGACTGCCATGCAGCCCAGGGACAGGAGCTCAGGACCAAGCAGCATCACGGTGCTGGGCCATCTGGCCTTGAGGCACAGCTATGTCACCGCGTTGATCACCATGATGGTGAGTTAGGGCAGAAGGGACCCTGCTCCCTGTCCCCTCCTGGGCAGAGGGTGGGGGCATCGTCCTCAGAGACAGAGCGTGAAGGAGGCTTCCTCCTTCCCGCAGGAGCTCCTCTGTGGAGCCCGTCGATGAGTGAATGGGCACATGGTGTGTGAGGATGTGCAAGGGGCTGGGAGGAGTCCTGGCCGGGCCACAGTTCACCTCTTGGCAGCTAACCGGAAGGTGGCCCATGAGACCCTCCTAGCCTCCCCAGAGGAGAAAAGACCCATTGATCTGCTCTGGGGAAAATGGAAGCCTGTGAAACTTATGGGGCACTTCTGCCCAGTCACGTGGAGTTTCTGGGAGCCGGGATGGACTGGGTTGCATCCAACAGCAGCAGCAACAAGGGGGACCCCAGTCTTGTAACCACAGAGGCCGACACCAGGGCAGGGAGAAGCTTCTGGCTCCTCACAACCGGGTGGCTGCGAGCTAGCTGCAGGGAGGGAGGGCCCTTTCTATGCACGCATGCCGTGAGGCCGGCTCGGAGTCCATCTGCAGGCTCCGAGGGAGGAGAAGCCTGGTTCAGGGTTTTCATACTGAGGCTGAAACATCACCCAGGAAGTTCTCCTTTGGAATGTTTGCCCCCGTCAGCCCCATTCCTGACCTCTTCTCCCTTCCACGTGGGACTCAGCTGCTTTGATGGGTGGCTTGGGGGAAAACCCACCTGGACCTTGATCCTGTGGCCTGTGGGAACGGCAATGATAGCACCAAGGGGCCCGTGGTGGAACCCCCAGAAATTCACCAACTCTTGTATCCACGAGCTCAGCTCAGGAGGGGCCTGACCCGACAGGGATCAGGCTGAAAGCCGCCATCACATCTGTACCAAGGGCATGCTTTTTCGTTGTTTGGTTTTGACCCCCTAAAACTTTGTATTGTGCCTTTGGGGTTTACACATCAGATCACCATGTTTGCACTCAACACTTAAGCAGCTTACCAACCCCCCCAGTGGCTTGCCGGGTCCCCATTTCCCTCTCCTGGTGTATGATCTTTCCACCCTCTGCCCTGTTGATTCCCCTCCCCCGCTCCCTCTCCCACCCCTGGGAGCCCTGTGTTTCTGTTGCTATGGAAATCTGTTCTTGATTTTAAAAATAACAACGGTCTCCTGCGATCTTTGCCCTTCTGTGTGTGACTGACTTCACTCAGCACAGTGTCCTCCGAGTCCCTGCGTGCCACGAGGCGTTCCACAGATCCATCATTGCCCTGCAACCATGCTCAGTATTCCCTGGTGAGTCCGTGCCCAAGCTTATTGACCCGTTCTCCCACGGCCGCACACGCAGGTTGCCTCCATCTTCCTGCTGCGGGGAATCACGCTGCGACGGACACGCGTGTGCATCGCTCTCGTTGTGCGGGGGTGCTGCGTTTCTGCCGGGCCTGCACCAAGCAGTGAGGTGGCTGGGTCACATCGTCTGTCTGCTCCCAATAGTTCGAGGACGAGCCAGCCCGCCTGGCACCGCACCGTGACTGTGCTGCTTGGCGGTCCCACCAAGAGGGTCTAAGTGTTCCAATTTCGCCCCATTCCTTCTAGCATTTGTTGTTTTCTTCCCTTTGGGACTTTGCTGCCAGTATTGGTGTTGAGATGGCATCTCCCGATTGTTTCTGATGCTTAGAACGGCGAGCAATTCTTCATCATATGTTTGTTGGCTGCCAGAATGTCTTCTCTGATGAAATGTCGATTCATGGCCACTGCCCGTTTTTAACTGGGCTGTTCATCTTTCTCTTGTTGAAAAGTTTTCTACAGATTTTAGAGATGAGTCCTTTGTCTGGAATGTCATTACCAACCCCCCCCACCCCCCCAATCTATAGGTGTTCTCATTATTATTTATTTATTTAGGAGAAATCTTTAAAGCACAAAAGTGTCTTATTTTTAGGGGTTCCAGTAATCAATTTTGTCTTTTTATGTGTGCATGAATCTATTTGATAATATATGTTTATGCCAGGTCTTAAGGCACCTACATTTGTCCCTATTTTCTCTTGAATCAACGATCTTTGATGATTTTTGTAGTTCTAGGTTTACATGTATAAGGTCTTTAATTCAGCTTGAGTTTGTCTTTGTAGGTGGAGTGAGACATGGGGCCTAATTCATTCTTCTGCAAAGGAAAACCTAATTTTGTCAGCAGCGATTGTTGAAAAGTCTCTCTTCCTCACTAAGGTTTCAGTCCTTTGTCAGAAATAAGTTGTGTATAGGTAGATGGATTTATTTCTAAGGTCTCTGTTCTATTTCCCTTGTCCACTTCGCTATCCTTGTCCTATTACCAGGCTGGTTGGACCACCACCACTGTGTAGTAGCTTTTGAGGTTTAGAAATGAGAGGCTCCGGACTTTGTTCTTCTTCTTAAGCAGTGATTTGCTTCTCCTGGGTCTCTTTTTGTGTAGAGTTGGTGATTTGTTTCTCCATATCTTGAAGAATGAGGCTGAGCTGGATAGAAACTTCATTATGGTTGGCTCCACGGTGTTAACTCTTATTATCCATGGACCCGAAACAGTCTTCCGCTTCTGAGGATGCTGATCTCTTTTGGTTGCTCGTGGTGGTGTGTTGTAGCTTTCTTTATACAAGTCTTGCTTCTCTCGTTGGGACTTTGTCTTCTGGGTGGCAATTGTCAAGGGCACAGCTGTCTTGATTTCTCTTCCAGAGTTCTCTTCATGCATGTGCTCGAAGCCAATGGATTTTTTGTGTATTGATCTTGTACCCCACCATGTTGTACGCTTGAATTTCTTGTTAAGTGTTTGGGGTTTTCTATGCTTAGAATCATATCACCTGCAAATAAAGAGAGGTTTACTTCTCTGTTGCCAATTTGCATGCCTTTGGTTTCTTTTTGTTGTCTTTAGTGAAAACTTCCAGTTTGTACACTCTTGAATAAGAGTCACAATACAGGGCATCTTTGTCTGGTTTCTGTTCCCGTAAGGATGTTCAGCGTTTCTTCCACTGAGCAAGATGTTGGTCATCGGTTTTGTACATATCCTGCTGTTAGGCTGAGGAATTTCCTTTGCATTTTTATTTTGTTGAGTATTTTGTTAAGGAATGCGTATTGGATTTTCTCAAATGCCTTTTCTGCATCAATTGATCATGAAAAAAAAAACACCTTTGTTTTATTGAAGTGATGGAGTATATTAATTATTTTTCTAATGCCGAGCCATCCTGTTTTCCATATTCTGGAACTGCAGCAGTAGGATCGGTGTCAGCCTTCTCTGAATGCTTAATAGGCTTCCCTGGCTAAGCCATCTGTCTGTGAACTTGCGGGGGGTGGGGGGGTTTGGAACTTTTTTTGATGACAGGATCATTTTCTTCTTTTTATATCAGTCTGTGTTACCTTAGGTAGATAGTGTGCTTCTAGAAATTTGCCCATTTCTTCTAGTTTTCCAAATTTCAGGGTGTGTGTGTGTGTGTGTGTGTGTGCAGTCCTTCATTGTACTGTGTTATGACCTTTTTATTTCGATCGGTTCTGATGTGATGTCACCATTTCATCTTTTAAAACAGTTTTATTGGCACATAGTTCACATACATACAATTCAACAGTTAAAATCATATTAAACAGAGTTGTGCAATCACCACCACATCATTTAGACCATTTTCTTCTTTTTTGTGTTCATTGTTATTAGCACCCCATTTCCCCCAGTCCCCCCTGCCAGCCCCAAGAAACCATTAACCCACTTACTGCAGCTGTAGACTCACCTATCCTAGGTTTTATATACAGAAAAAGATACTAAATAAAGAAGTAGATAGATCGGTAGATAAGTAGATAGGTAGATAGAAAAACTAATAGCAATAATAAAGTAAAACAGAGAAAAACCTCAAG